AAGCCAAAGAAGCCTCATGTTGAGCGCGAGACAGCGATAGACATCCTTTACGAGAATGAAAGGGGTGGGTTTCTCTGCGGCATTCCTCTGTTTTCTTCGCAAGCTCTTGGAGGACTTGATCCACCTGCTTGGAGTAAGTCGTCAAACCTAGAAACACAAGTCACCTTTCTCTAGTAGGCATTGACATTTTTGCTTCAGCCAACGGGTACCATAAAGCTTCACCAAGCAACATCCATAATGCACAAGTTCCTGACCCTACATGGGAATGGGCGTGGCCCGAGTGGCGAATTAACCATCAAAAAGGAGTCGACGAACATGGCTGGGAATATTCCTTCCACTTTTCAAAAAAGTTTTCCTGGCACAGCGGCAAGTGGTGGAATTCGTTTGTTCGAAGACGTGCCTGGATTCGAAAGCGGGTGCGAAAGAGACCGGAGGAAGTGTCTGCCGATCCGCACATGCTCAACACGGATTACTTCACGATACGGCCGGCTACTCACAAATCACCAAAGTCTCGCGCGAGCGTCACTAGCAGTCGTCTCAGTCGCTCGAGTATGAGCCAGATGTCGACCGCGGACGCGGACGAGAAACCTGCCGATATTGACAACGTGGATGACCTCATGCGCGCTCTTCGACAAGCCAGAATAGACCGAGAGAAGCTTGACGCTGTCAATAACTACATGGAACATGCAACGGACCTCCAAAACCTCCAGCACGAGATGCATGAGATAATGTCTTTATTTGTTTTCCAACAATCACGCCGCATATTGCTCAGCAAATTGATGGAGATTCATGACGAGACGACAACTCAGATGAAGAAGACGAACACTTCTGAATTACGAGAGCGAAACCAGGCATTGAAGGATGCAGTCCATCATGCCGACGAAGAGGTTCGCAAGCTAGCCTACTGGAGCGATGTAAAGCAAATGGCCGAGAGCGGCGAGGCGAAAGAGGCAGTCAAAGGAGATAAAGGTTGGGATGAAAGCTGGGAAGGTGTCGACCAGAGCGGCGGCGCTCATCCAATGCAGGAAAAGGCCATGGTCAACGGTAAAAAGAAGGAATCGGAGACATGAGCGAAAACGGTTGTCAAGTTTCAATCTTTTGATAAACAAAGAAACATGGGCGTCTGATGGGAAGCAGACAAGGCGTTGTTGCATTGGTGCAGCTGGAGATTTGATGCTGGTAACTACAAGCTACCTGTTCACTATTGTAATACCTTTATAAGTTTACTTCATACATGATTCTTTGGTTCATCATATTGACAAGGCCTTGTACACGACAAGCCAAGTCGAGAAATGATATTTCGGGTGCCCACGTGATGCAATGGCCGACATCGCGGGTCCATTATCGCGATAACAGATAACGCCCGCCCGCGCCAATCTTTTTTCCGCCATGTTTTGAGACTGCTATACCTGGGTATCTAGTAGCCAAGGACCCAGCTCTCAACGAGTGGCCTCTCGAACAAAGACGCCTTCGACGATGCGTGAATTATAACAAATGTCCCTGGCGATCAAGTCAATATGGCGGGCTCGGTCGCGATGCTCTGCCTTCTCAGGACCTTTTCCGAAATCAAGAGCCCCATTTCCCTCCAGGATATCCAATCCCTACGCTATCCGGCTCGAGTCATCGACACCATATTCTGATGGGACAAACTCAACTGAACCCCCGAAAACAGCCCTTGTAGCCCTTCCTGAAAAGTCTCTCGAAGTGAGCGAACAGCAGCCCGAGCAGGTTATTGCCAACCTAGTTACGGACGATGCTCACGAGTCCCGCAATCGAGTCTTTAAAGATGCGTTCAGGATCGATGCGCTTCGACTGGTTGAAGACAAAGATGCCATGAAGCTCTTTAAACCTGTGATCGGAAAAGCACACCAATATCCAAACGAACAGGCGAACAAGGCAAGCGAACAGGAGCATAGGCGGGACGCACGACGACAGGCTGGCTTAGGTGTGGTCTGGAGCCACTTCGACAAGACCGTTCCGCAATGGATAGAATGTTTTGGGCTAATGAAGCGCATGACACCACAATGGAGCGAGAGAGCCAACATGTCGGCTGTAAGGATCGTCCTACCCAAAACGTGGGATATCGAAGTCAATAACCAGAATCTCGAATATGTCGACTCTGCGACGGGCGTGCTCCAGAAACTGCGGGCAGTCGTGGATCGTAATCCTTCTGCCATTGTTCTTCGTGGAAAGAGCAAGATATTGGTCAAGGTGGCCGACGAGATTGTGAGGCATTGCCAAGACGCTGAAATCTATGAGCTGGGAGAAGTGGCTGCATCGGATTACAAGACGAGGCAGCTGTGGCCAACCATTGAAAATGCGCCAAACGGAGGTGCCTCGCTCCCTGATGACCATAACGACAATATCTGGGTGCACAAAGAGTACCAGCCTCACTCTCTCCATGTGCCATACGAGCAGATCCCACGACCGTCCTTATGGACACATGACAACTTTGAGCACTATATCTCAACGCTGTGCTATGGCAAGGTGCCTCCTCATCTAGCAATCAGGTTCTACGGCCAGAGGCGAGTGAATGGGAGATATATCGATACGGATGGCATCAGGATCAAGCTCATTGTTGATGCTTTTGATGACCCTGCTGCAAAACCATTCATTACTATCCCTGTCTTGAAAATGGCTATTTCCATGATGGCTTTCCGAGGTGGACATCGTGCCTCTGCCAACCATCTCATACAATTGGGAGAGGAATTGGGCATCCCCATGGACACTGATATATACAACATCATGCTTGAAGGCTACGCTCACAAGCGTGATATTGGCTTCTTTTATAGGTTTCTCCGAAGGATGCAGGCGCGCTATCATCACCCCAACATTCGAACATGGCTACTTTTCCTTCGACTGGTCAGGGGTGAGGACGAAAGGAGGCAGGTCATTGTGGCCATGTACCAATTGGGCATGTTCAATCATCAGGCCACGCGTCGCGGGATCGCCGATGTAATGGGCTCTCTTGATGCATATGCTGCTTTCAAAGCTGGAATACCTCTGAAAGGCTTCCTGGACGAGCAGAAGGAACGATATGGTGAGGGCTGGCTAGCGATCGATGGCCTCAACAGTATTGTCACTGAACTACTTCGCTTCCACCGCCCAGAAGATCCTCGAATCGAAGATTGCAAGGAACTGATTAGGATTCATACGGAGTCAGGCCACAGGGTTGAGCTTAAGACCATCAACATCTTCCTCAGCTACGCGGCCAAGTCCAGAGATTGGGATACTGCTCTCTGGGCTATGTCACTCTTCAAGGTCGCCGGCTGCGAGCCTGACCAGGAGACTTATGGTGCTCTCCTGTCACTTGCGGTCAAAACACGCTGCCCGCATGCCCTCGGAACTGTCTACTTCTACGGCGTCCTCCGTCGTCAGCTCAAGAAGGGGTCGAGAGACTTGCTGAGCCAAGTCCTCCTTCGCAAGCACAAAGACCCCTTTTGGGAAAAGCTTGAGCATCAGCCAGGCATCTTCCCCAGACAGGCAATCCCTGATCTTTTGGCCAATAAGATTCCTCGCCTCTGGGTTGTCATGTCCCGAGTCGAGCGTGTCATCCTCGATAAGTGGGCGAGCTATGCTCCCCTTAAACCCCTCGAATATGCGCTCGGACTTTCATATCGCTCCAATGACCTGCCCATGCACTCCCAGATCAAAGCCGGTAAACCCATTCAGGTGCAAGATCTCATCGTCAAGCTTCGCAGAGCTGACGGTCAACCTGGGAAAATCAACGTGCGTCTCAAGGGCCGTTTCGACCCGGCGCATATGATTCAGGGTTGGGATGAGTCTCAGGCAGATGCAAACCATCCGAGCGTACTGCAAGAAGAAGAGGAGCCTGACAGCTGGCCTGATAATGATGATGATGTTGATGATGATACTCCAAAGCTTTTGTCGGCAGGGCCCGAGACGGACCCAAAATCGCCTGGCGGTGGTCAAGATGGTCCTCCTGAAAGGCCAAATTCCACCCTTTCCTCTGAATTTGCTTTGAAGGAGGTCGAGAAGAAGATCAAAGAAGCTCGAAAAAGAGACCAGATTTAAGTCTTGCTGAACTTCTGTGAGAAGCGCCACATACAATCCCCATATTAACAATATCGTATTTTCAGCACCTTGCATCACTCCAGCCTGTATATTACAATTCCTTCTAGGATGCCTACCCATTTTACCTGTACTTTCAAGATCATATTATGATAGAAAATCACGGACATACCATGTACACTAGCAAAAGCACATTTTTCAAGAGGATGGGCAAGACGGAAACCAGAACAACGATAAATAAAAACGAAGCTATCAGAACACCTCAAATCTTTACTTCACACACTAAATTACGGACTGTCTTGCCCTCGAGATCAGTTCATATGTTCACCTACATTACATAAGTGCCAAGTCTGTGAGAGTGCAATGATAGCTCCTGGAGAAATATGGATTGATGTTTCCCAACTCACGTCTGAATAATCGAGCCTACCGTTCAAAAAAACAAAAATGGACCGTCAGTTAGTGTCCTGTATATGCTATACTGCCTCTTGACCCCTCTAAAAGCAATCCAACCATACTCGAGCATATCATCCCAGCGACTGGCATTCGCAACGGAAATTTGGAATGAGACGGATGATCTCATGGCGACGTGAAGAAAATGGGAATCCCATGCGTGCGTAAACATCAAAAAAAGGTTTCTCTCGCTCTTCTTTCTTTCTTTCTCTCTTTCCTTGTATCCGCCTCAGCCCAGAACATGATATCCTTTCCGAGTCTCGCTCTTCTCGTGATGCGCCTCGGCAAGTCGATGAAGAGCGCACGATCCAGATCCAGGTTTGACACCAATACACCGACAAGTTGAGATGCAAGACTTAACAGGAGAATATCACAACCCCCTCTCATGACCACCATCTACCACTTGCCCTTTAAACTTCCCAGAAAGCTGGGATCCGAGAAACATAACCGGAGGTGCAAGGGAGAAGCGACACCTAGGTTGAGTTCAAGCCCGTTACCCCGTAATTTCAGACCACAACCTATTCTTCCTTCTTGATTTCCTGGGCACTGGCCTCCTTCTTCACTTCCTCCGCTGCGTCCTTGTCGGTAGGCTTCGTAACGGTTGCATCGGCGGGTTTCGTATCGGCGGAAGCGTTATCGGCGGCGGCGGCGTCGCCAGGGGCAGTTACAGGAGCGGTGTCCTTCTCGGCGGATGACGGGTTTTTGGTGACCTGGCTGGCGAGGTCTTTGTCTTCGTCGGCGTTGTCAAACATTTCTGTATCATCTGAATCCGTGAGAACCTCAGTGCCATCGCCGAGGAAAATGATCCGGCCTCGGTACCCACCAACTCCAAAGCTTCGTCCCTTGTTTTCAGGATCCATCTCATAGCCACTGTCGCTATCCTCAAAGTTGTGGTGGACTCCAGGTCCTCGGAATTCGGCTACCGATTTCACGTCAGTCTGTGTCCAGACGTCCAATTTAATTCGCAGAGCGGGTATCATCCTTACCGTACTCGGGAGGAGCACATGGGCCATCTCCGTTGGCGACCCGGCGGGCGATCTCCTCGTACCACTCTTCCTTGGTTTTTCCGTTGAGGAAGCCGATGATGACCATGGTCATATTATCGCAGCCAACGCCACCGGTCTCGGAGTTGGAGGCAAGACAGTTGTCCATCATGTTCTCACAAATCTTGTCGAGCTCCTGCTTGGCAGCGATGCCTCGTCGGACGAACTCAACCACGGCTTGAGAGGATTGGCAATCCCAGATACCTATGCTAGTGAGTACTGTTATTCCCTCATCACTCGAGCCGACGTAGCTTACCATCACAAGCAATAACCAGGAATTCATCCTCATCTGTAAGATCATGTTGCTCAACATCGGGGTAGGCTGTGACAATTTGGTTCTCGGGGGACAACTCAGCACTCTTCTTGAATTCAAAATCACCAATAGCACGCGAGAGGGCGAGGTTTCCGTTCACTCGGCCGAAGTCGACAAAGCCACCGGCAGCTGTGATTCGGTTCTTTTCGTCTAGTGTGGATGTCAGTACTATCGCTCGTGTTGCGTGAGTGATGTGACTGACTCTCGAGTTGGGGCTTGTGGTCCTGAGATAGAGGCTTGGCACGACCCTTGATACCAAGAACACCTCTCGAATCACCAGCGTTGGCCTGAATTTACGGGTCAGCTTCTTGCCGTATGTCATCCACCAACGGGATGTGAAGGTGAAAGCCAAAGTGAGGGAAACAATGACGAGGGGCGAACTGACAACATAGAGCTTGTTGCCAGCGATCAAGCTGACACAGGCTGTGCAACCGGAAACCTCTTCTTCGTACTTTGGGTCTGATGTTGGCGAAACATGACACGTTAGCAGTTGTTATTCAAGAAGCCAGGCGACGATTTGTCTATTATCGGGCATGGCGGAGAACGGAAAAGACCAAAAGCTGAGGCATACCGTTGAGAATAGCGCGATCGGTCGCGAGGAAACCGTCCTTCAGACCCTGAGCATAGTCACCAGACTTGAAGGTGTCCTGCTTGAAGATAATGTTGTGAATGTTTTGGCCGGTAAATAGTGCCACCTTGTCACCACCGTGTCCGTCGAAAACACCGAAGAAGGACAGCTTGCTGGAGTGAGACTTGGCTGAGTCGAGGTCGAGTACTGCGGTGTGAGCATCCTCCATACTAATGCGCCAGCCTTGCATGGCCGAAACACCGTAGATGAGGCGCTCATCCTCACCCTTCTCCGAAGTCTGTAGGATAGAAAAGAAGCGTTAGCAGGACTTGCTTGGTCTGACGACAAAGCAGCCAGCGGAAACATCGGGGAAGCGGATATCAGTATGTGAACATGGGCGTGGAAAATAATGATCGCAAGAGCCAAGTTACAAGCCCAAAGCCTCTGGTGGTCGGTGCATATTCCCGACAAGGCTGAGGATATAGGCGCGGCTGGTGAAATTGGTATTCCGTGGGCTCCAGCGCCAGTGCTGGGTGAGGGGCTCATGACTGAGCAAGATTGCCCCTCTCGCGCCAGGTCCGAGTGCTAAATCCCAATGGCCGAATGCAAAACAAAAAAAAGACCGAACAAAGCCGCGCAGATGATCGAGACGAGTACATAAAATTCATAGGCACAAGACGCACCTTTTCGACAACGGGCTCCGATAGAGTCTGACCCATGGCTATAGTTTGTTATGGCCGGTTCGATCGAAAGAAAGCCTAGGCGTTGCTGGGACGAGACAGGACGGCGAGCGGAAGGAGGAGAGAAGAGATGAGGAAGATCGACCGACGAGGGGTTGGCGGGGGGGGGAGAGGGTCGTTTGAAGAGGGGGGATGACGAGATAAGATCTCGCTCGACAAGAGAATTTTAGTTATTTGTTAAGAACAAGAGGTACGAGTATGAGTATGAGTAGTATGAGGAGAAGAAATTATAGCAAAAGCAAAAGGTAGAAAAAGAAGATGAACGGGGTTGACTACGATGCCGGCGCCGGGAGCGTGGTCAAAGGTGGATTCACGCTTTCTGTTGATGCGGAAGAGGGAGATTTCGACGTGCGAGAGATGGATCTGGATGTGTGGATTGTTGAGTTGAGGTTAGGTGAGGTGATGTCGGGCGGGAGGTCGCACCTATGGCGGGGGGGCTAGTGCTGTAGCTAGCTCTACTATCGCTAGGCTTCAGCGGTGGTGATCACCAAATTTGGAGCTCTCCAGGTGAGCGGCTGCCTAACCGTTGCACCCTCGGTCGGCGCCTTTCCCTGAGGTGGTGGATGTTTTTAGCTGGGCTCGACCTGAGGCGCAGGCTTTGAAAATCAGATGAGGCCGGGGTATCGCATATCCTGGATTAATATGGATTTATGCATTCTCTCGGGGAACTATCAAGTGTAGCATCCATCTACGGATATCCGCCTTGCGTATTGCTGAATCTTGTGCTCCTCGAGGCATAATTAGTACCTATCTTAAGGGGGACCTTAGGTACAGCCCAGCTTGATATCAACCAGCATGTGCCAATCAAGGTGTTTTCAACCGTGATATCTCGCTCCTCCATCCCATCTGAAAGGCAAAGAGCTCAACTACTTTGGTCCTAGCACCATTCTAGTCCAAGGCAGGGGCGAATATACTGAACTGTTCCTGTCCCTACATCATCAATCTGGGCTGCTCTTCTGCTAGTTAACCCCTGCTCCCATAGGAATGGGACCGCCACTGACAGCCACGCTTTGTATGAAATAACTCTAGGTGATACAATGACCTCACGTCACTGGCTATGATATATGCATCCATACAAACCATCACCCCATCGATACACTGAATAAGTTGAGCCTTTTTTAAAACCACCCACTGCATGCATGAAAATTACAGTTGAGAGGGGGAAAAAACTTTGCATGAGTATGTCGTGTCGTGTAAGAGTTCCGTCAGCCGCTGGCGCCTAAACAGTCCCCTCTCGTTCGCTCCTTTTTTTTTCACTGTCACGCGTGAAAAAATTCCATGTTCGTCCTCGCCACTTCTAGCCGCGTGTGTTATTCATCTGTGCTACTCTGCCAGCTTTGAGTGGCTGTTGAGAATTACCTGTTCAAGCACCTGATTTGATTTGATCGGATGCTACACATAAGCCTCAGATCAGGTCGCGTGCCCTTCCCTTGATGACGGTCCGGTCCGGCTCCAAAAAATTACAAAACCCAGTTTCTTATCCCCATCCGTGCGTGCTTGAAGTATTGATTGATAGCAGGTAGGGCTGTGCGGTTGTGGCTGATTACTTTTTTGTTAGAGGATGATGCTATCTCTGAGGCTTGAGGTTGAGAGAAATTGCAAACCGTGGAGTCCATCTTTAAGTGAAGGGTTTATGTTATCATGCAGGTAACTCTCAATTTTCAAGAGGGATAGATCTGGAAATTACGCCGTCAATTCTGATGGTACACAATACCTAAAAGACCATAATTGTATATAACATATCTGTATAGCCAACCGTTTAGCTTACCCTAAACCGTTGGCCATTGAGTACCGTTTTCGCCCATCTGTCCTTACAATACAAAATAAATTGGTGTCATTTCGTTGGTCACTTGCCAGTATTAAAGGTATTTAAGATTTCTTATTTATCCAATGAGATCATAATTGTCCTTTGAGGACTTGTGCTACTAATCTAGACCAAACATAATTTTAGAGACCCCATCTACAAAAGAAAAAAACACCTAAATTATCCTTTCCCAAAGAACACGCCAAGGGAGGAAAAAAGAAAAGAAGCAAGAAGAAAAAAATTATCAATATACCAAAACAAATACGAAGCGCCAGGGTATCTCATGCTCCAACATATACATCATCAATACAGGACTTCAACTCTCAGAGAAAGGCATAGCTGCCACCTTCTGACTTGCCTGAATCTTCTCTTCTCCAATTCACAGATGAGTTTCCTGCTGGTTTCGAGTGTCTACTGACAGGAACACTGAGCGGATCGACACTTAAGCGAGACAACTTGCTCATCGAATGCCCCAAGCCTTGCCGTAAAGACGCCAATGATCCCCTGATGCTGTTCTGAGCATCTCCCCATTGACTTGGGGATATCAATTCCGAGCTTGCCCGCTCTCCAGGCTGTGTTCCACAGCGGCTCGAACTCATCACCGTGCTTGGCCGAAGTGGATGGAAAGGCGACTCATCAACTAGCTGGTGATATGATGCACCTGTTCCATCGCGCTGTGGTTCGTACACACGCCAGTTCTCCCCGGACCCAAACGAAGGATCGCTGACATATCCTCTGGGTGCCTCCAAATCATACCATGGTCTGCTACCAGGGCCAACATCCTCTCCCAGTAGTTCCTGGGTGGACAGACGTACTAGCTCCGGTCGTATCAATACTGGAAGGCTCTGAGTTGCCCCCATTGAGGGGCCCTCACTATCACCTACTGAGGCATGAGAACCGAGCCCAGCATCTGGCGCTCGTGTTGGAACCCTAGTCAAGAGCCTTGGACTGGAAAGATGTGAGGAAGCGAAAGCCAATGAGCTTTCATTGCCGCTTGTGTAGTAGTCAGAGCCCTGCTGGAACAATGCTCTTTGCGATTGAATGCTTGGGAGACCATTGAGCGAGGAGTCGGCTGCATCGTTACCCCCCATGAAAGACCTTCGTCTTGCATCCGATAAAAACACTGGTGGTGGTATCAGTTGACTGGTTGACTGCGATAATGTTGAGTTCGATCGTTGGCTCCTCAAAGAGTCACGACTTGGCCGCCCTGCAGTTGTAGTTCCAACTGTGACCCAGGATCTTCTTTCGTCCTCACTGTTAGATGTGCCAAGGGACCGAGATACACTGGTGTTGGAATTCTCAGCGACGAATCTCGGGGGAACAAGAGGTGTCGCCATGAATCCCAATGTTGGAGATGTCATAACCAGCGTCCCCGAATCCATCTCAGAATGGAGCGTCCTGATGGGGTGGCGTTGTTGTTTACCTGCAGCTGCTATAATCTCGACCTTGTCGGCCTCTCGCATTGCCGCTGAGCCCCCGTTAACACGAAGGCTGTCGAGCACGGGCCCGGAGATCTTATGGCGAAACTTGGACGAGAGATATGTTTGTCGTTTGCGGCGGCGGCGAAGGAGACAACAAACAAGCAGCATAGATAGGAATATGACGACCAGAAGAGGCAGAAGAATCGCGAGGAGGAGGGTACCAGTCGTCAGACTCCCATCCGAATCAGACAACTGTACATCAGGCTCTGAAGAGCTTCCGGTGGGCGCGACAGAAGTAGACGTGCCCGTAGATGTTGATGAAGTGCGAGATTGAGTTGTCGACGAGGATGTGGACTCGAACGGTATGACGCTCAAATTTAGAACCTCGGTCTCTGTGTCATCCAAAGTCTTTGACGAAGCTGTCACAGAAATATTTAGATCTCCTGAAGCGGATACTGGGATCTTCCCGGTGATGTTAAAGCCATCAAGCTTTAGCCAATCCTTCTTCGGGTTGGTTGAAATCTGAAGGTCAATGTCCTCAGGGTCCCAGAAATAGGGCCGCAAATCAAGATCGACATCTTTTCCAGCCTCGACCTTGATACCGTCAAAAGTTGAGCGAAACAGAGCAGTCGAGACATTGACAGTGGCGTATATGTTAATTGTGTCTTGGTATGAGTCGCGGAGCGTGATGGTGAAGTTGGTTGAATGATCGCCTTTCCCTGGTATTCCCTCGATATCCCATGTATTCTTGTCCAGCGACAGCCAGTCCGGCATACCATCTGTTGAAATATCAATGTCGTCGATCTTCACAGGTTTATTGTCAAGCTTGATGCCATCTGCTAGCCCGCTATATGCAAGCTTCTTCCCTCTGGTAGTGTTCAGAGTGATGTTGGGGTTGTCAACACTAAGTTTGTGTCTACCCACAATGACAGAGAAGGCAACTGACACGGCAGAAAAGCCAACAATGTCCGAAGCGACAAGCTGGAAGTCAAACGTTTGAGGAGGCTGGATAAGTGACTCGAAAGGAGGTGTCTTGCCACTAAATGTCAATGAGCCAGCATCGAACCTCATCCAAGCAGGTAAGGGACTGCCATCGCCCGAAGTCGCATAATAGTTGATCATATTGGGCTGGTATTCAAATGTGTCGGCATCAAAAGTAAATCTGAGCTCCGTAGAAGGATATGAGATTAGTGATGACGGCGGCGAATAGTCGCCAAAATCTTGAATCTGCTTCAGAAGTGGTGTTTTGAGGGAGGGGCCTTTGTTCCTAGACACGACCAGAGTCGAACTTAGCAACGTTGAGCCAGAATCATCCTTGGCAATGATCTCTACTGTCTGGCCTACCACATCGCCACTGGGAACGGTGTCGTTGGTCGGGATGCCATAAAGACGGCGATCTTTGCTGTCGATAGAAATCCATTTTGGCGCATCTCCGAGCGAGTATGATATTTTGGAGTCTGATCGAAATGTGTAACGAGAGAAGACGTAAGAGAAGGGCTCATCTACCCGGGCTACTGGTGGTAACTGAGAGTTAATCGGGTAGTTGATTGTTGGCTGAGAATTTGTGAGTCCTGAGATAGTGAGAAGGAGAACAGCGAGTATGAAGGAAGCCATCATGGCATGACAATACACTGCTCAGTGTTCAAGTACGAATAGAGTAACATGAAACGCCATCCAGGTGAATAGCAAGTCGCTGAATAGAGTCGAAAGGATGAAGGAAAGAGAAGTGAGAAACAGGAAGGCCGGGAGACAGA